CTATCTTTCCTTTTGAATAGAGAAAAAGCTTATATATTCAACCTGTTCAAACCTTAAGATGTCTGTGAACTATCCCTGTATACCACCACCCAGATCTGATATATAACATTTCCACAATCCAGAAGTTTCCCCAGTCTTTCCTGGACATTTCCCATCTTCCCCAGTATCTTAGTCATTTTCTTGTCACTGGGACACAGTACACAACACCCACAGCTTAAAGGATGAGAGATTTGTTTTGGCTCATATTTCAGTCCATGGTCAGCCAGCTCCAAAGAAGAAACAGCATAGTAGCGGGGTGTAGTGGATGAAAAGCTGCTCCTGTTACATAGCCAGGAAACAGAGACAGGAAAGTGGGGAGATGAGAAAGGAGATTTGCATGCCCAGTGACCCACCTGCTAACAGCAAGTCGGCCATGGTGCCTTGACAATTCATTCACCTTCCAAAAGCTCCACCTATGAGCACAGGAAGCGTTGGACATCTAGATATAAACCATAATATCTAGCCCTTTGGCTGATAAAGCCTTGTGGATATCTCTTTATGCAAAATATGCAATTTAGTCCAGCTCTAAGAGTTACCAAAGTCCAAATAGTTATAGCATTACTGCAAAGTCCAAGTCCAAAGTCTCCTGTGAGACTCAAAGCAGATTCTTATGTGTGAGCCTTGAAACTGAAGAGGAAAAACACTAAGCCCTATTGCTCTGTGTCCAGCACCTGAGGCAAAGATGTGAACTCCAAAGGTAGCACCACCCCAACAGCATTGCCGGTTGCAGCTGTCGTGACATCTCTCTTGGGCTGGCTTTGCTCACCGCCTGTTGCTTTCCTCAGATGTTCCATTGCGTTGGCTTCTCTGCCTTCCTGGACTATCCACTGCACTTTGGCTCTACTTGAATAGCTTCATGAACTGCCTTCTCAGGGCACATTTCCTGGCTTCCCAGGCCTGCTTCTGAAATCTGAGCAGAAGCCTCCATGACTCCATCACTCTTGCTTTCTGTATACCTGTAATATTAGCAACATACAGATGACACCAGGGTTTGCTGCCAGCCCAAGGGTAGCCAGACCCCCTTGGATCATGGTTCCAGAGGCTGAGTGCCTAGCTAAGCACTGTGAAACAAATCCCAGGGAATCAGTTTCCTAGCTGGGCTTTCTTGTTGTATAACATTTGATTGTTTGTGGTACCGGGGATCGAACTCAGGACCTTGTGCATGCAAGGCACGTGGCAGCACCACTGAGCTGAATCTCCAGCTAGCTGGCCTTTCTTGAGCAGTGTGCCATGAGGCTTTCTTCTCAAAGCAGTCTTTCATTTTAGCGCCCTTGAACTTGTGAAAGGTGAGGTTTTAATTATTTCTCACATGATCTCCACATATCTTTTCAATTCTGACAAGAAGTACTTGGCTTCTTTTTAATGCTAATCTCAGCTTCCAAGATCTTCTCTATCAAAACATTATAGGAGTGTCTTTTCTGTGGAAACTGAAAACTTTTAAAATCACTCAGTTGTGCCATTTGCTCTTTATTCTCGATGTAGAGCTGGTTAAAAAAAAAAAAAAACAATAGTACACATGCAACAGCTTGAATGTTGGGCTGCTTTGAAATTTTCTCTGCCACATTAGTCACTGCTCTTAATCTCAGTATCCTGAAAAGACTCAGGACATGAAAATATAATCAAACATTCTTCAAGAAAACACACTTAGCCCAAAATCCAACTGCCAATACAGTCTTTGTTTCCAAATGAAACCTCCTGACCTCAACCTTTACCATGTGCTTTTTTATCAGCATTCTGATCTTCTGATCTCTTACCAGAATCTTCCATCAAGCCCAGTTCACAGAATTTTAGGTCTTCTCTAGCTCGCATCTACAAACCTTTCGAAACTCTCCCAGAGAACTAGTTCCAAAGGGTTTTCTGAGCCATATGATCAGGTAGCATTACAGTAATGACTCCACTTCTCTGGTACCAAGATGTGTCTTAGTCACTTTCTCATTGCTGGGACACAATACTTGACATCCAGAACTTAAGAGGACAGGTTTATTTTGGTTCATGTTTCAGTTCATAGCTGGCTGACTCCAGAGAAGAAACAGCATGGCCGAGGATTTGGTGGAGGAAAAGCTGCTTCCTTCATGTGGCCCAGAAGCAGAGAGAGAGCAAAGAGAGACGGGAAGGGAGATATGCCCTTCTGGGTAATCCCTGAAGTGACCTGCCTCTTCTGACCAGACCCCACCTCTTAACAGCACGTCAGCTATGGTGTCTGCATAATTCATTGATCTCTCAAAAGCCCCACCTGTGAGCATACAAGGCTTTGGGGGGACATCTAGATATAAACCATTACACCAGAGCTGCTGCTCTTTTGGCTTTCCTAACCATAGAGGAGCGTCCCTTAGTTTACATTCCACTTACATGGAGTTATACAGGACTTTGAGCCTGGTTCCTGTCTCTTAAGATTATATATGTGCAGTTCATCCACATCATTTGCTAATAGCAAAAGCTAATTCTTTTTCATTGTGTTGTAGTAGCCTATTGCCTGCATGTGCCCTGACTGTTTGATTCATTCTATGGTAATGGCATCTAGGTTGCCTTCAGGTTTGGGCTATTATACTAAAGCTGCTAAGGATAGTTGCATGAGTGTCACGTGGTGCCCACAGGCACTCATTTCTGTTGGGAGTGGAATTGCTGTGTCGCAGAGTAAATAAATGTATGCTTAGCTTTTTAGACAGCCACTAAACAGTTTCTCAAGTAGCTGTACTGATTTGCACTCTCTTCAGCAATAAATAGGAATGCCAGTTGCTCTGCAATCTTGCCTGTACTTGGTACTGTCAGACTGTAATTGTAGCCATTCTGGTGAGAGCATTGTGGCATTTTCTTGTGGCTTCAATGTGCAATGCTCTGCTGCCTAGTTATATTAAGAACTTTTTCATGTGCTTGTTGGTGGTTTGGGTTTCTTCTTTGGTGAAGAGGGTGATTGAGTCCTTTAAAACTTAGGTTGTCTCTTAATTTTCTCCTTCATTTTAAGGAGCAGCCATGAATGGTATTTTGTCCTCTAATTTATTAATAACCTGCCAAGGTGACTTAAGAACACCGACATTGGAAATCCCCTCCAGTGTACCCTTCATGTTGTCCAGTTATCTTCAGCCATCTTTTGTGTTCCCTTCACTTTCAAATAAGTGGTTTCCTTTCTGCCTCATACCCTTCTCTTATTCTGTATTATAGCAGTGCTTTCTTCCCAACTTTCTTTTGATTGCATGTGGCAGAAATAGACCCTGTGGGTGATACCCCACTGACTCAGTCATCTTCCATTAGGTCTCTAAGTATGTCTTAAAGTTCTGGGGAGCCCCCCAACACTACCATCCTGGGGACCTAGCTTCCAGCGCAAGAACCCCTGGGATGTGGAAGCCACATCTCCACCATAGCAGGTGGTGAGGATGCATCCGAGCCACCTCCTTGCCTTCGGGGCCGTGTGTTAGTAGGCACATAGCCTTGTCAGAGGTCTGCAGGTCGGGGAGAGATGAGGAGTAAGGGTGTTGGAACTTCCTGGGTTGACTTTAGCCCATCACTCCTGGTACTGGGAATTGTAAAGCCCTGTGAACATCTCCCCTGTCATGTCCAACACGTGCTTTTCAACTCTGCTGGGAATGGAGGACACTTGTCCAGTACGTTTCTGTGCCTGTGCTTTGGGTGTGAGTGGATAGGACCCACTGTGGGACAGCAGGAAGGAACTGTTTTACTTCACGGCTGCCCAGGACCTTGGCTTGCCTGATACACATCGAGTGAAGAAGAATCGTCTTGGGCTGCATATAAAAATATTCAATATAGACACTATGTATAGATAGCAACTTCCTTTATTTTTTATATTTTAACTTATTAACTTATTTTACTAAATACTGTAACAAGCATAAGAAAGCCTACACGGCTACTTGTTAAACGCCACACATACGTACAGTTGGTTGAAATACTCTTATAAGGAATCATCATGTTTTCCTTGCCAAGTTGCACAAGCTCTCAGAAAGTCTGATACACATGGGTTTTGCGTTTCCATTGGACTGGCTGTGCGTGGCAGGCACGGGAGGTGGAGTTAGCAGTACCTGAGCTTCCCTTACACAGTGCTCAGTTGTGGCCTTCGTAGTCTGAGCTTGAGAACTGCACAATCAAGGCACAAAAAATATCACTAAAAATCGCATAATAATGTTGGAACTGGATGTGGTGACGCTGGACTATGCCCCCAGCCCTCAGGAGGATTGTGGTCCTGTGAGGCTGCATTGCTAGATGTCAGGGCTGTGTGCCAGCCTGTCTAGGTACAGGTGTTCCCTGTCCTGTCTTTACACCATCCCCTGAATCAGAAGAGGGGAGAAACAAGTCTGCGGAGTCCAAGGATGTGAGAGCTCCTGTGAGCTAAAACCCTGTACATCAGAATGGTAGAGACTGCTAGAGATGGCATCTCTGTCGCAGGGTCAGCTGGTCTGCTTTAAAACAATTCTAGGATCAAGAGCTAGAGGGAGGGAAAGAGGATGTCTTTTTTTTTGCCTTTCATAATGAAGGGTGCTCTCTCTTGTCACTCCCTCTGAACTGCTACTCAGAGGGTCCACAGGACAGGACGTGGTGACCTGGCAGGTAAAGAAGGAAAAAGAAAGGCACCATGTGGTTTGTGCATGTGTGCGTGTGTGTGTGTGTGGGTGTGTGTGTGTGGGGGGGTGTTTCCCCTCTCCTCTCCCCCACACACCTCCAAGCTGGCATGTATTCTGAATTAAATGGCCCCAGAGGCTATTTACAGTACCCTTACCATTCATAGAGATTTATAATGATTTTATGTGTGCACGAAAGCTGCTGAGAATATTTGCATGAGTGTCATACGGTGCCGACAAGTGCTCATTTCTGTTGGGAGTGGAATTGCTGTGTCATAGAGTAAATAAATGTATGCTTAGCTTTTTAGATGGCCAGTAAACTATAATATAAATGTATCTGACATTTATAATTGTGGGACTGGCTCAGATGCGACTCTCTTTTTCTGTTTGTAGGCTGGTTATGATGGAGAGAGTATTGGAAACTGCCCGTTTTCTCAGCGTCTTTTTATGATTCTCTGGCTAAAGGGTGTTATATTTAATGTCACAACCGTGGATCTGAAAAGGTAAGACAGGGCTTTTGCAGGATTGAAACAACTGGACCAAGGTCCCTAGATAGACGCACACATGCATGTACACACATGCACGCACACGTACAAACCCCTAGGGCCTGTGGACAGTATCATGGGCGTATCTAGTGGTCAGGAGCCTGAAGTGAAGCCCCAGTGTGTGCCAAGCAACAAAGTCACAGGAGCAGATGTACTGTTGTCAGAAGGAGGAGGAGTTGTTGGCTATAAGGAACCTGGTATCCCAGTTACAGGTCAGTTATGAACCTTTCAAAAACCCATCTGAACACTGTATCTGGCTGATAACGCTCGGAGAGTTAACATTTTCATGTCTATGCACAAAAGGGGCCATAAAAAACATGAATCCAACACATGACTTGTTGATGTACATCTTTACTTTGATCGCAAGGAAGCCATTTTGCAAACCGTAGTCTATTTGAAATTCTCGAGGGTTGTGTCTGTATGGGGGAGAGCACTGCTAAACCTTGGGATCGAGTCTAAATCCTTGAGACTGTCCACAAACACTGCTGTCCACTCCTACCCAGGAAACCTCTGGACCTGCAAAACCTGGCTCCTGGGACAAACCCTCCTTTTATGACTTTTGATGGTCAAGTCAAGACGGATGTAAATAAGATTGAGGAGTTCTTAGAGGAGAAGTTAGCACCCCCAAGGTAGGTTTTCTAACTCCAGTGTGCACAACTTGGTAGGTACCTCCCATGAGCACATCATTCTGAAGCACTTCGCTGTGTACTTGGTTTCCTAGAGCCTCAGTGCTTCCTGCCTTAGTTGTCCCCCGTGGTGTGACACAGGAGGCCAGGGCCGGCTTGGTAGCCTTGTGTGAAGGTGGCCTGGCCTTCCCTGCCATGCACCTGTGGTCTTCAGATAGGGTACGATGGCAGCAGCAGGGAGGAGGTGCTGATGGCCCTGTTGAAAGGCCAGGGTACATGCCAGGGTGAAGCCTCATGGGGCGTGGGAGGAGGGAGGACCCTTCGAAACCATCCCCTGCACTACAACAGGGAAGGAATTCTGGCCTGGTGACTGGGGATCCCAGGCCTCGTCAACCATAAAGCAAAATGTCTCAGTCCACTGTAGTTCTCCCAAAACACATTGACTCCTAGCCTTGCAGAATAAAGAATAGGAAAATAATAAAGAGGGGGGTTTCATTTTTATATTCACCCAGAGAAAGTTTTCCCCATGGTATTTTCCTAACTCAAACACTGCCTATCTGTGATCCTCCAACTTTGAATTTTTCAAGGTACCCTAAGCTGGGGACCCAACACCCTGAATCTAACTCTGCAGGAAATGACGTGTTTGCCAAATTCTCAGCATTTATTAAAAATACCAAGAAGGATGCAAATGAAAGTGAGTATCTCCCGCTTCCCTGTTTTTTGTTTCCACGAGGACATCTATGTGGCTGCTTATAAAGATCCCAGGAATCCTGAGGGAGTAGAGATAAAAGCCTAGAAACAAAGGAAAAAAATACCTTCAACTTGAGTCTACACATGATTTCAAGACAATGAGCCCTTCTAGAAGTTGGAAATCCAGAAAACAGCACTTGGGGAAAAATAACCACCACCCAGGTATTGCCAGATGTACATCGAGAGTTTTCAAAGATGCGCCTACCCCATGCTGATCTCAATTTAAGTTTCCATAAATAGTTTTTGAAAAACACAGAAGAGTTCTAGAAATTGCAGTGTCGTGTAGACCGCAGACTAATGCTCCAGGAAGTGAGCCCTTATTCAGATCTTCGGCATCCACAGTCTTTGTTCCCTACACGTGTGGCAGGGGTGGCCACAACTCGGGATGGAAGGATGTGGAGATCCTTCCCTCACTGCTAGAGAAAAGTGGCACGGAGTGGCATGGCCTATCTTGGTGACTTCTTGCCTTTTTGTGCTAGTTTATGAAAAGAACCTGTTACGGGCCCTGAAGAAGCTGGATAACTACTTAAACAGCCCTCTGCCTGATGAAATAGATGCCAACAGCACGGAGGATGTCGCTGTTTCGGGCAGGAAGTTCCTGGACGGGGATGAGCTCACGCTGGCTGACTGTAACCTCTTACCCAAGCTGCACATTATTAAGGTTTGTCTTTCTTCCCGACACCTGTGCTGAATGCATGAATGAGGCTTTGTTCTATTTTGTTTTGACTTGTGTTTGAGCCAGACATTTAAACAATCTGAAATGTAGACTCTTGAATTAAAAACTGGCTCATTTCTGGGTGAGGCAGCTAAGCCCCCAAGTTTCAGATACATCGCTTGATGGCTCCAGAGGTTCTCATGAAATACCTGTGGATCCGACCCTGCCCCGTGTCCTTGCTACTCTTTCTCTCAGCCTGACCTCCAAAGCCTTGAGAAAAGTGACACTAAAGCAACTTGAGGAAATTCATGGGTTTCCTTGGTATGGAACACGAGGCTTGGAGATGATGCGTGGGTTTTGAGTGTATTAAAAATGGGATTCGGTCCACTGTTGAGCACTGCAGGGATGGCATCCTGGGCAGATGGCCTGGCACTGTCTCTCAGCAGCGCTCAGACTCTTTATCAGTTATGGATGTCAATTGTCATTGCCTTTGTTGCTCTTGCTGTGTCCTTGGTAGCCTCAGATGCCACAGGAAGAAGGCTGTGCCTTGTTCTGGTGCATCTTGATGATTAAAAAACCCAACCAAGTTCTGAGCTACATCCTTGGTGTCAGAGCAGGTGTGACAGGAGAGATACAGAGAAATACAAATCAAGGACCAGGTGCTCTAATGAACATTTAATTGGCCTTTGAAAGGTTACGCACCAGTGTCTGCATGCTCTCGTTCAGTGTGGCACAGTTCTTGGGAACCACGATATAGAACCACTGTAGATATTCCTCAACCAAAGAATGGATAAAGAAAATGTGCTACATGTACACAACGATTATTATTTAGCCATAATGAAGGACAAAATTATTTCATTTACAGGAAAATGGATAGACCTGGAGATCATCGTGTTAGGCACAATAAGCCAAATTCAGAAAGACAAGGATCGTGTAGTCTCCCTTATGTGTGGAATCTGAAAAAGATGGCAGGAAAGTAGAAAGGAGATAATTTTTAGAAAATGAGAAGGGAATAGGGAAAAGGGGGAGGCAGTCTAAAGGAGGGTAAGGGGGGAGGATGTGATCAAAATATATTGTGCAAATTGAAATTTAATATTTTATAAAATTAATAGCCACTAACATATATATATAT